TTGAGGCGGGGCCGGGGGTGGGGTAAGAAAAAAACGGGGGCGCGGGGGACGGCCAAAATTGTTTTCGCTTGGGGCGGCAAAAATCCTAGAGCCGGCCCTGCTCTTCCACATGCATTTTTGTCCATTATTCCTGGGGCTTCTCTCCATCTCCCTGCTGCCATACAGCTCCCCTTCCAAACAGGGCCCAGCCACTTCCTATTTAAGGACCTTACCTGGCCTGGGGAAGGGGATATACAGTTGGGGGGGGGGGGCGGGGAGGCTGATGGGAGTTGTAGTCCCCTGCTTTGCAAATCCATCAGTTTTTGTTTTTTCAGACCAGGCTGAAAAAGTCCTTTTTTCATTTTTAAGTGGGCTCCAAACCTCTTGGTGCACATATCAGTTGGACTGTGAAGTTGGCTATGGCTTACCTGTCTTCTTATATCTGGCAGTAGCACAGGAAAATTAATGCTTTCTTGAAAAGTGATACGAGGATCACACTTCTAAATACACTTTATTTATAGACATTTCCATGGTGCTCGTCGATGTGGAATTTGAGTCCCTCATGACATTAAAGATGTATTACATTATCTCCAGTGGGAAGAGCTCTCTGCCTTACTCCTTTTTATCTGGTTTCTTTCAGGAATAGCTATCTGATGGTGAATTCCTTCCACATGGAGTGGTGTCATTACTTGGTTGCTTGGGGAATAGTTGTTTATGCAGGGCTATCTTGTAGCCCTCCTAAAGATGAGATTTGGGTTCAGTTTGATCTCCTGCAGAAACTGCAGAAATAATCCAACACCCAAGGATGATCAGGCTACAGAAAGATACTCAATAATAGAACAGTCACAGCTCTGCTAAATTTAGAAAATGCTTCCAAGAGCAGGTAGATTCACACATGCTAGCTATTCAATGGCTATTAGCCAGGATGGCCAGGGATGGTATTCCTAGCCTCTGTTTGCCAGAAGCTGGGAATGGGCAACAGGAAATGGAGCACTTAATGATTACCTGTTCTGCTCATTCCCTCTGAGGCACTTGGCATTGGCCACTGTTGGAAGACAGGATCCTGGGCTATATGGACCTTTGGTCTGACCCAGTAGGGCCGTTCTTATGTAGCTCTGCTTGAGGTAGCGCACTAAAAATGGCAGTGTGGCTGAGGTGTCATGGGTGGCTGCTAGGCAAGTCACCAGTAAGTGTTGTATGGATGACAGTATTAAGAGCTACAGCTGAGTGATAAATGGATTTTTTTGTATGGGGCTACATTGAAAAATAAGAAAAAAAATGCACTTCAATTTGAACCAAAACAAAGTTTTTCAATTTTTTTGTTGAATCTGAAAACTTGGGGGGAAAATTCATTTAAAATTGATTGAAATGTTTTGAATAGACCTGAAATAAATTTTTGTTTTGTTTTTGCTTTTTGGTGTTTTTGTCAATTTGTTTAGAGTCAACAAAAACTTTTTTTTAGTAGTTTTTGTTTTCTAGTTTTGTTGTGTGTGTGTGTGTGTGTGTGTGTGATTTTTTTAAAAAATTGGCCAGATTAAAAATTGTAATGACATTTTGAAAAAATCAATTCACTGAAAAAAATTCATCCAGTTCTATTAAGAACTGCTATCTTTAGCTATTTGATGATCAGACATAACCAAACAAATAGGGCTTTGAATCTCTGGAGGAGAGAGAGTTTATGGATGAGATAGCAAGACACTGGAAGTTTCTAGTTAGTTGGCTGTACATCTATTCCAGGGATTGGCAACCTTTGGCACGCGGCTCACCAGGGTAGCCCCCTGGCAGGCCGGGACGGTTTGTTTACCTGCCACGTCCGCAGATTCGGCCGATCGCAGCTCCCACTGACCGCGGTTCGCCGCTCCAGACCAATGGGGGCGGCGGCCAGCACATCCCTTGGCCCGCACCGCTTCCTGCAGCCCCCATTGGCCTGGAACGGAGCCACGATTGGCCGAACCTGCGGATGCGACAGGTAAACAAACCGGCCCGGCCCGCCATGGTGCTTACTCTGGTGAGCTGCATGCCAAAGATTGCCGAACCCTGATATAGACCCTCAGAAAATAGCTGGATCTCTTCCTGGTTGAAACAGAAACCAAATTTATTGGCTATATAGCAGGCTTTACAGTCACATTTTTCTTGTCTCACCAACAGCAAAGAATTGAATGTGTATAGTCCTGTTTGCAAAGTGTGCAATATAGCCTTGACTGACTTGAGAGCTAGGATTCTGGCCAGAGGTTTGCGGGAGAAGCTGCTGGATATTCTTCCATTTATACATACTACCATACCTACTTCATATATGTGCCAAGTGCATGAATTGAAATGTATGTTCCTCCTCCCTGTCAGCAGCCACTAAATGGGATATTCCTGTCTTGCCGCAGGACATCTGCCTTAGGAAACCACTTCTATATATGGCCCAGGGCCATTTATATATACGGCCAGGTGGGCAAATGCCAGCATGAGATGCAGTTATTCACAGGCATGAGAGCCATGGTTTTTATGCTTGGTGAGCATATGACATTTGAAACACTATCTGAAACACCAATCATACAGTGAATTTCGTATTCTGATACCACGAGAAGTCACCTTCCTCATTCTAATGTTTAAAAAAAACCCTAAACTAAAATATTAATTCTTTTAAAAGTCACACACAATTGGCCAAATTCATCGTCTTTGTATCTCTGATGACTTCAGCAATTTTAAGCTGACACGGTCTTGCATATTTAATGCACCTTTCTTTGGTTCACTTTCTAAAAGTCATTCTCAAAATTTTACAAATCACATTTTCTGACTAATGTTATTTGCAAACTGATGCCTGATCATTCCATTTTCTTTTCCTCAAACTCACACAGGTGTTCTCCCCCCTCCCCCCCCCCGCCCTTCACTCTTTAAATGATTAACTATGAAGGAGGCTAAAATAGATGAAGTAATTGTCACTTGTTCCTTTGCCTCATTGTGTCATGCTGTGCTATAAATGTATTTAATCTGGACAGAACCGAGGAGGTAAAACCTAATTTAATAGCTATCAATCAAAGGCAGCAAGCCAGCCAGAAAGACAGTAATGCTATTACAAAGGGGAAAAAAAGTTACTTACCATAGTAACTCATTCTTTGGGAATGTTGCCTCTGCAGATTCAAACTTGTGGAATGTGTGCCACTCTCTTCCCTCAATCCTGCTAGGCTTTCAGGACTTTCCTGGAAAACAGTGCTTGTCAGGATTGTGAGTGCCCTTTCATGGTACTGAACATTCATAGTCAAGATTGTGAAAAGAGTGTACAGCCCCAAACTCCTCAGTCCCTTCAGCCAAACCAAGTGTTCATGAAAGTAAAACTCCAAGGAAGAGGTGAAAGTGGCCAGGTTAATATAAACAGGAAATACATCAACCCCAGTTACTATGATAAGCAATAGTTGTTTTTCTTCTTCGGGGTGGGTATTTAGAGGTTTTGGAAGTTTATTGAGCAGTCCAATCTCCAAGAACGTGCGCTGAGACGTTCCAGTTAACAAGATTGAAGAATTGCCCTCCCAAAGCAAGCGTCAGATCTAGAGAGAGATTTGATCTGAGAGAGAAGTGACAGAATTCTGTGAAAACCATCACATAATAAGCAGTTCTGCAGATTTTTATGATGGAAATATTTGAGGCATGATATTGATACCACCTTGGCGCTTATAGAGTGGCTTTAACACCCTAAGGTACTGTAGCTATTTTAGGTGTCAATTCGCAGCCTGATCCACTTAGAAAGGTGATAAAATGGAAATGGCTATCCCTTCACTATGATTTCCAAAAGCTAAAAAAAAGTCTAGCTGGCTTTCTAAATGCCCTAATCAAATACACACACAGCCTTTTGACATGTAATGTATTGTGCTTAATTTCCTCCAACCAAGAATGAAGTTTTAGTAAGAGCACTAATGGTCCAATTCAGGTAAAACTCGGACACCATCTTTTGGTATTGATTGGGATATAGGCTCAAGACAACTTTGCCTCTTGGGAGTATGTGAAAGGATGATCAGACATTGAAGCCACAAGTGGGAACGTACAAAGGCTACCTCATAGAGGAATTAAACATTCTGCATCATGACAGGAATCCTGCATCACTTGAAACTTGTAACGCTTTGCATATATACTTATGCCATATGCTAAGATCCTAGTGTTAAATATTTTCTCTGAATAATTCAATGAGGGAGAATACTGATTGAACTTCTTACATTTTTATGGCCCTTGTAGGTTCCTCATTATGTAGATTAAAAAGATTTCTCTGGAGAAGTAATTTTTTATGGATGCTAACCTTAAAACTAAATGACCAAGAAGTCACATCTTTTATGTAGCACAGGTTGCATTACTAGTTCAGGTAATAAAAATACCATTATAAACTTGATGGTTTTCAGTCAAGACATCTAGAAGAGTTGCTAAGTGCTGCCCAGACAATCTTGGTGCAGGATTTAATGCTTCTTCACCTTTAAGTTCTAGCACAACTTGCAACGCTAATGAATTTGAGCACATCTGCAAGAACAGTACAGCATCTGTACTACCTTAAGTGCTAGCTGAACATATTTTTTAGATTCCAGCAGAAAGCATCTCCTAGTCACTTTTTGGACCTGTTCCAACTCCAGGTGAAGTCTGTGGAAGTCTTTCCATTGACTTCAGTGAAAGTGGAATAAAGCCCTAGATTCACGGACACAGTTAAGAGTAGATCACCAAGAAACCACATGTTGCTTTCATCTTTCTAATGCCCAGTTGAACACGTTGTAATGGCCATAGAAAGTTTAGCGAGAAGTTTACATTTTTTTGGACAATCTAACCAAATTCTACATTTTAGCATTACTTTTGAAAGGGAAGAATAGTGTACATTTTTTTTGTCCTTGGCTGTGCAGCTAATACTGTCAAGAAAAGCCTCAAGTTTTATGCCTTGTGTCATCATTTCATCCTTTCTCATTTCCCAGTAGTCTGTACAGCTTACTCTTTTCCTTTCAGCATTCTTGTTCTGAATTTCGTGCCTCGGGGCGGAAAATCTGCTGTTGTGGTAGGAGAGTAAAATAGCTAATGATTCAGAGACCAATACACATCAAAGAAATGTAAATCATGCTTGAAATTCCAAGATAGCCATAAAGGAAGAGGACACCTGCTGGCTAGTTAGATATTTTATGGATGAGGACTGGTGAAAGACAGATAGCAGCAGAAGAAAGGAAGGCTATGATTCAGTAGTACTTTGATTATTAGTAGCTATCATTTCCTCTTTGCTGTTTCTACATACATTATGGACATCAACATAGTTGAGAAAAACATAATTATCTCAATCATAGCTTGCAAGAAGTCCAAATATAGGAGTAGAGCACAGTTTTAAAAATGGGACCCTTTCCAAAATATGCTGGACAACCCTTCTGTAATAAAATTGCTCTCGATGAAAGCACCTCAGTCAACATTTATTCAGCAAGTATTCTATAGTTGAGTTGCATGGAATTGTTCAGGCACTGTGTATGGTGGTGATATTGCTGTATCATGCTCAAGCAACAATATTTCTCTGCATGTGGAAATCAGAGGTAGACTTAAAACACATAGTTACCCTTTGTCTAACAAGCTATCCACTAAGGGGGGGAGAGTAATATGGGACTGGGAGGATGGGGAAAGTAACACCAATGGCAGTAGAAGGCATATAGGGGTTTTACTGAGTGACCAAACATAAGCCAGTATCTCAATAGTCTTCTGAAAGTACCCTAGTCTTGCTCTTCTGCCTTCCGCCTATGTCTCACTCCCCTGCTCATCAAGTGCTGGATTGTAATCCTGCAGTCAGGCCCAAGTGATGAGCAGAGCATTCTTGAGCTATCGGAAGAGAGAGTAAGTGGTCGGTTGCAACGTTGAGAGTAACAATCTGGTTCCTGCTTCCTCCACGCTCCCAGGTGAAAATCACCTGGGCCAGCAAAAGGACTGGTGCAGACTAGTTCGCTGCTCCCTGTGGTGGGTTCAGTATTGTGTGAGCAAAGCTAAACTCTCCCCACCCAGCCAGCTCATTCTCCGCCCACAGGCTCTGATGATGCAGGTAATCCGTGCAGGAAAAAAGGAGGCTCCTTACACTCCCTTAATCCCCCACACCAGCAGGCAGGAAGGCTCATTATTGAACTTCTATAACGTTAACTCTTAAACTTCTATAATGCATGATTTTTCTCTGTGTGTGGCTCTATTTACATTGCAATGAGGGAAATGATTCCAACTCATGGAGACATACCCAAGCGATCTTTAATCTAGCTAGATTAAAGACAGCATGGGCTTCAGTGTGGGTTGTATGAGTCCACCTAGAGCCCTGGATTAGTTACTCAGGCAGCTAGCCGATGCTGCAGCAACTTCACTGTTCCACAGCCCTAACTAGCTGGATTAAATGTAGGTCAGCAACAACCTGTGACTGCAGAGTAGACATACTGTGTGTGTGACTTTCAAGATGTTGGTTCCAGGTGGGAGGATTTTTACTTTGCTGCATTATCAAAAGGATCAAGCAGCTTCAAAGTCACCTCTGGAAAGCTGTTCCACAAGTCCAGTCCTGCAACTGGGAGCTTTGTCTCCACCCCCACTCATTTCTTCAGCCAATCACAGGGAGCAGTAGGGGAAAGTAGAGCTTTAGCATTTGTCTCATCTCAGCTCCACAGCAGCCCCTGAGCATTCATTTCCACAGGAAGCAGTAGGAAGAAACTGAGCAGAGGGTCTCACCTCTTGTCCCCCGTTTGGTTCCAACCACTAACAAGATGGAGCAGAGGGATGTGGCTTCAGATCCTGTCTCCTGCCGCAGACTGTAGTAACCTGTTCTGTAGGGAAAAGGGGACAGAAAGCAGGACCCTCAGTACCACCTTTGCTCTGCTCTTTGTTCTGGGAATTGGGGGAGGTCAGCATTAAACTCAAATTCCTGCACCTCTAACAAGAGCTAAAGCTGACACCAAGAAAGCACTAACAGCACACACAAGTGTGAGCTTTTCTTCTAAAATCCAGTGTTTGAACTGAAGGGAGGATGGAAGGGATTTCCTAGCATTTGGATGATATTCATCCTTTTCTGGATATTGCGATACCATCCGATTCAGGGGTGACGCTTATCCCTGGTTATGGCTGGCTTTTACATGTCACCTATGCAGCAGGCTGACCAAGAAATCCTTTGATTTAAAAACACCAAATTGGGGTTGATTAGTTGCAGCACAGCAGTGTTCAGTCACAGCTGACTTGACTTGGGGCAGTGGCAGATATGCCAGAAGATGTTACTGTTTGCACATGTTGTAAAATATTTGTTGGTCATTGTCATTTCCATTTCCCTACTTCTGACCAATCAGTGAATGAAAACAATTGTATGCTGATTTAAACTTCCAGGGCAAATTAACTCTGCTCTACAACATAGCAGTCACACAATGACTAGTATGACACGTAAGTAGCCCATATCTGGGTTGTCTGGATTGTAGCGTTTTAACCTCCCACCAGTTCTCTGAAACTTTTCTCTCATACTGTGTCTAATGCAGAAAACATGGAAGAGAAACCAATACACCGTATTACAGTTTGTTCTGGGTAGAACACACTAGTGTGGATTTGTGTCATATCAAGGTCATTGAGCCAGCAGCATCAATCTGAAAGCTCATTTGTTACTGAACTTCCCCAAAATGCAAGTCTTAATAGGTCAGCCTCCAAAAAGATAAATTACACCATGTTAGAAGGCCTTTGAGGGGTTCTCATTGAGTTTGATTCTAGAAGGCTTATACAATGGGACATGCCTGAAACAGGAATCTCTCTCTAACAACTTGATCCTTGGAGGATTATGTAATACTTTCTTCATAGACCGCTATCTAAAATAAAGTAATTGTGACTTAGGAAAATAAACAATTTTTTTGCCACTGGGATCCCTTGAGGAGACCATTGACAAACATGAATTTTAAACTACCTGAAAAACTCCTTTATAAAAATATCTCTGACCAGAAAACATTTCTTAGCTGCCCCAAATTAGGGCTGCAGAATAAATAGTGCAAACCCATGGTAGTAGGTTTCATCTGATGCTGGCATTTAAGTTGCTATCTTTAAAATGTGCTGCAGTACAAAGTGAGCTTTTACCAAAAGCTTCAAAGCAGCAGGGGGCAATCCAGATGGCTGTAAATTTCGATATTCAGATAGTGTGACATACACTAAGCAATGTCATTAATTGTTTACTGCCCTGGTAAACTTCATTATTTGCCTAAAGAAATCCACTGAAGGGAGCATATTTTCCACTTCTAAATAACAGAAGAGAAGTTATCTGCCAAGATCTGCAGTTTCTGTAGACCCAGCATTGTGCTATACCTTCACCATGGAAGAACAGGGCTTTTGACAGCATACAACTAAGAGAGGGCATGGTCAAAATAATTGCATATGCTGAAAAGCCTTGGCACATGACACAAGAACCTCCAACCATAGGTAGGAAACTTCTGCTGTCTCTGCATGACATAGCCATATCATCAGTGATAAGAGGGAGCCCTGTCTCTCATGCCATACTCCTCTTCGCATCCCCCAACTCATGCATACCTGTGACCCCTCTGACAGGGTGCATAGAACACATGTGGATGTTTTCTATAGTCATGCTTGGAAAAGGAAACATCACGAGGCCAGCTTTTGCTGGAGTCTCTCTAATGTGCCATACCTCCCCCACCCCTCACACACTGCTGTGTTAATGGGTTTTTGATGCAGTGGAGCTTTTGGTGGCTATGCAGTGATGAGGGAACATTGCCACATATCCCTTCTGTAGGGTGTTCAAGAACCAATTCCCGTGTGATTACCAGCCATCAATAGTTTACTAAAATCAAAGCTTTCTTGCAAGTTTTAAGGATAACACAATAGTGGCAACTCCCTAAGTAGTCAGAGAGAGATCATTTTGTACTGCTTAGCTAATACTTTGTGCTTTCAGAACAACAGAGCAGAATTATGGAGTGGTATGCTGTACACTTGTTCCCATGATCTGAGACAAAGCCAGTACTCCAGCTCTAATCTTTAGGCCTACCACCCTTGTCAGTGCAGCTGATCGAATTCATGCTGAATAGCTGATGTGATTAATTCTGCCTTTTTTTTTCCTGTTTGTGAATTATTCCCCAACAGATTTTATTTGTGCAAATTAAATTGTCCCACAAATTTATGCAAACGAATTTAAAACTATTGGCTGTTTATGCTCTGTTCATGTCAACTATTTGTGATGTTTGATTGGTCAGCTAAGCCACCTCATATTGTTTCTGCTCTATGCCGGAAACATTCTAAGAAGAATAATGAATTGGATTTTGCACACAAATATCCTTGCTCACCCACAAATACAGATCCATAGATTTTTAAGACCAGAAGGAACTACTGTGATCTTGCCCAAACTCCTACAAAATTTAAGCCAGAGAATCTCATCCAATAATTTTTGCATCAAGCCCACAACTTCTGTTTGAGTTGTAGCACATCTTTTAGTCTTATATTAAAGACTTCAAGTGATGGAGAATCCACTACATTCCTACTACGTAAGTTGTTCCAAAGGTTAATTATCCTCTTAAAATCGTGCCTTATTTCTAGTCTGAATTTGTGTAGCTTCTGCTTCTGTCCATTGGATCTTATTCTGCCTTTTCCACTAGACTAAAGAGCAGTCTAGTACTGGAAATCTCTTCTCCATGCAGACTGTGATCAAGTTACCCATTAACCTTCTCTTGGAGTCACTAAATAGATTGAACTTCTTTATTCTCTCCTATAAGGCATGTTTTCCAGACCTAGAACAATTCTTGCAGATCTTTTCTAAACCCTTATGGATATCTTTTATGAACAGCAGGCATTCCTTAAGCATTTGTGCAAAGACATGCTTACACAAATAGGCATGAATAGGGTCATGAAATTGGTTGAAGCTCTGAACAGGATTTTTCACTGTTTTCTTAAATTCAGTTACTGTGAAACTTACCCTAGCAGAGTATTTGTTACCTTTTATCATGCATTTTATAGGTAGGTCAGATAGCAGTGCCATAGAGAAGACAACAAGAGGACACTATATTTAACAAAGCATAGGAAGCCATTGTGGACAACTGCATTGGTCAGCTATCTAATGAGATGCAACAGAATGGCACAAACACAAACAAATAGCATGCATGTAGTATTGTGTATCTGTTTATAAGAAAGCAAGCATAAAATATAAAACAGAATTTACACTGTTTGTTCTACTAGAGAAGCAACCTTGATTGTAGGTAAAGTTATGGGCACTGATTCTTCAGTGCATTAAGTCTTCTTGTCCATTCTCCCTATACAAAGTACACCCGGTGCATCTAGCTACATGAGCATTGCACTTTCATATGAGGTGAATCATAGTTTGATGTAAAGCTGCCTTAGTGACCTCTTCCCCTGGTCCCAGTCATGTGCCATATCTTATGGAAAAGGGGACATGTGATGTAAGGATGCTCTCAGTGCCAGTCCCCAGCTGCAAAGACAACTCTCCAGGACCAGTGGTAAATGGTGCAATTGGCTGCTCTAAGTTGTGTTTGAAACTGGCCAAGCATTTGCCAACCCTAGGATCAAGGGTCACAAAGTGGCATTCACACCACTTTTGCACCTACTCCCTCCAAGTTGTCTAATACTCTTCAGATGCAGCCCAGGACCTAAGTCACAGGAATTATTACACTTAGCCAGATTCCCAGGGCTATTTCTGCTTACATGATGGGTGGGTGCTGAAACTGACCAAAAAAAAAAATCCCAAAGTGCTTCTTAAGTTGTCTGGAGTTGGGTACCAAAAAACTGAGGAACCCAAAACGAATGGTCGCTTCTGAAAATTTTTGCCATAAGCAATTTGTTCCTCAGCTTCTCAGTCAGTAGAATGGGAATAATACCTGTACTTATCCCTTGTCCTCCATTTTAAGTACCTGGAATGAGGAGACAGCAAATGGTGCTGTCAACTAAGTTCAGGGTCGGGTTAGGTTAGTGGGGAAGGGAATACTCCGCTCATCACAGGCCTCTGATAACTCTAGAAATAGCTTTGTAAGTTCAAACAAAGTTTGCTTATGGGACAAGCTACTCTGCCAAATGCAAAGATGCAGCGTTTCAGCTAGAGTAAGCCCCTGACCAGTGGATCAGGCTAATAGTTTTTTGGATCTCATTTGAAAAAAGAACAAGCAACAAAAATAATTTGATTACCATATCTAAACATTACCTGGACTGATTATATTATCATATAGTCCTATGGGTTTACATGGCTTAGGACCAGATATTTAAAGGTATTTAGGTTCCTAACCCCTTTAAAAGTCTGGCCCTTAATTCTCTGCATACCCCAAAGCATATAACTCAAAATGAGCTGTGTGGTCTTAATTAATAATGAGCTGTGTTAACTGGAATTAAATGACTTTTTTATCTCCTCTTTGTGAGTGACTTTTCAGTCTTAGGTTAATTGAAAAAAAATCTTTCAAATCTTCAGGTAGGCAAAGAAAATTGTGTTGCATGCCAGTGCCACACAAAAGATAAACAGTTATTCAAGTTGGGCTTCTGAAAAATACATTCTCCTCTAATGAATATAGCTTAGGTTGAATGTCTGCCTATTGATTAGATACTTTTAGGAAATGGTTGCTAACAATTCAGTTGAGAGGAAATCCTTCAAGCAACATATTACAACAAATTTGATTGTTTCACATTTCTATTTCAGGGCTAATATAAAAATCAGTGTGAATATAAAAAACACCACAAAAACCTAAAGTCACTTGCTATGATTGATTGCATTAGTTATAGTATTGCTTCAGGTGTAATCAGGAATATTTGTCTTTGTGACATTGCAACAATGATATAGGGTAAAATATGCTAATATGCCTATC